CCTTCTCCCAGCTTTTGTGAGCCTGGAAATTGCTGAATTGCTGTATTCCAGCGGGCAGGTTTCAGGGCTGGGAATCTTCGAGAAACGATCGATGTCACCTCTGGGATTCGATTCCCTTGGTGTACAGCACGGGGGAAGAGCTGCTTGTCCAAATCACCAAGCTCTTGGATGTTGTTGGATTAGTTCAAGGTGACATGAAAAACACTGCCTGGTATGAAACAAACGTCAACTGCAAAGGAAACTCTGTACACTTGCAGTCCGGCTATCCCAGCACCACTTCTCTGATGGACTCCTCCAATGCTACCCTGTGAAGCAAGCTTTTCGAATTTGAGGCTTGGACCCCAGGAAGACGTGGGTAAATCTCACCCGTGAAGATGGTCTTTGGACCTCACCCACGCGCACGCGGGTTCACCCCTGCGGGTGCACCCCACGGTGCGGACGCGCAGGGTTGCACAGGGTTCTATGGGCATGCCAACAGGACTGATGAGTTCTTGAGTTCAGTCTGGCCTCCACTTTGAATGAATATGGTCCATAGCTAGTGCTACAGTGCTACAACAAAGGTCATGAGTCATGAGTCCTGAGGAAAGCCACGAGGAATGAGTTACGAGAAACCGGCTTGCCGAAATCTCAGGTGCACCACCCCATTTGCAGGGCCAGGTACAGCAAGGACACATGAGCTACTCTGCCAGAGTGTTTGAGGCCATGACAACCCCACAGGTAGAGAGGAAGCATCAACCTGTCAGGACTTGGTCTCCGTATGACAATTGAAATGATGTCTCACTATGTCCAAAGGATGTGAACACCTGCAAAAAACCCTAGGTCGTATGTTTTCAGATTTCGAAACCACTTGTGAGGCGCCACAGGACGATGTGAAACATCGTACCTTGATGACGAAGCTATGCCACACATGCTTGCTAGAGTGCGCAAAGCAGACAGCCCACTCTTAACGTTCCTACTTCAAGAGTCAATAGACAGTGCCCGCCAGGACTACTAAAGCGGGCGAACATATGAGCAAATGAAATGTCTTCATGAACAAATCAGGGAACAAGTTTGGGTGACCCGAGAGCAGGGAACCTTCATCAGCCAATGGGGTTGAAAAAGAGGACCGCTTGAGTCCTTGTGCCGAAATCGATCCTTCGACTGATCTGTAATTGGACGTCGGACGGAGTCCCCACCTCGATGCTGACATGCTGGTGATAAAAGTTGGTCTCAGTGTATTCCTGCTCAGTATATGCATGTGTGATGTGTGGGTCATCTGTGTGAGAAGGGGGACCTGCACTTTTTAGAGCCCAACGGATGTCCAACGGGCCTTTTGCAGTTCTTGTGCCTTTTGCCTCATCGTCACAAGCCCTGGATGATGAAAGTTAAGCCGTCCTGGAGCCTTGCCAAGCATCGTAGGCGATCTGCGGCACCCAGTAGAGCTGGCAGCCATCCGAGGCTGGTCAACACTTGGTCTAGAGTCAGAGTCTACGTTGACGTTCAAAGAGTTATAGTCATATGAATATGCCTCTCAAGAGACTGAGATACACCAGATAAGAGGAATCCATCTATCTACCTCTGATAGAAAAGGCTTTACAGTACTGGCTCTTCTTCAAGGCAACTTCAGGCACGCCATCCGAGGCGATCTCAGTGCACCTGCAAGACCAGCACCACCACGTCCAGGTAAGCCAGGCCTCATTTTGGACAAGCGACACGAGGACCTCCAAACGACACAGGCCTCATGTGGTCAGCAGACTGTGTCCTTGAAATATGCCAAAAAGAATTGCTAAAAACCTATGTGGAAAGCTGAACTACTTCGAAACAAGGAGAAGGTCCTGTCTTTGCCGAGGCCATCTGAGGATGCGGCAGTTGTAAACTACCAGGCTTCCCATGACCAAAGCACCATAGAACCGGGTGTACCTTAGTATCCAAATGTTGCTCAGTTCATGTGTAAACCTTTGTAAGGTCAATAATGGGTCAAAACATGTGAAAAGAAACAGTGTTATGAATCTTCTCGTCGGCAATAGGAGCCAGGTCATGTTCCAGTTTGAGTCCATTGAGCCATTGAGCGCATCAATCTTGCTCCGTCCCGGGCATCCCGGCAACCAAGAGACTTCTCGACGCACAGACTCCCAGCCCTCACAGCTCCGGCGCTGGTCGGTTGAAAAGAAACACCTGTTGAGCTTTAAGAATGTTAATAGCCGGAAATAGTCTAAGGTCCGACAAGCACGACGGACCTTGAACGCTACTTGTCCCGCATATTTTCGGAACGGGCTGAATTCAGGGATCTGGATTGAAAGTACACACCACACGATCAGATTGAGCAGATTCTCAGGCTGCCTAACTTATCATGGCTGGCAGCTGACTGACATGTTGGCTTGTTTTGTAAGTTTGTTTCACCTGTTTTGACAAGCAACAGGTGGAAACCAGTCAAACCAGCTGACCAGTATTTGAATTTTTTTTCACCTGTTTGGACTGGTTTCCACCTGTCCCAACAAGAGGGAACTCATCACCAAAGGCCTCAGAGAAGGCTTCGTGTCGGCGATGGCGGAGAATGATGAGCAAGTATCTGGCCTGTCAGCATGGATCTCTTCTGCAATCTTGCGCAGCTCGAAACTGCTGCCGTAGAGCTCGATCCAGCAAACTCTTGGTTTGGGAAGTGAGAAAAGCTTTGGCTCAATCCGACTCTTGATTTTTTCATGTTGTTTAGATTCTTTGGTTTGGGGGGCAGTTGTAGAAGAGCGCAGAACCTGACTTGAAAGACAGTTTCCCCGACCTTGTTCCAATATAGCTTTTAGTCCAACTTCTCTGCCCGAGTGCATTTGGAAGACAAACCTAGTTCATTAATAACCACTTGCAAGCAACTCACTTCTTTCGCTACAAATACACTTGGCAACCCTTCACTACAAGTGCTGGGTTTGGGGAGTCATAGAGAAGTTCCAGACTCTGATTGTCAGCCAACAGCAGTTGGGAGAACAAAGCATGTGTCATCGTCCTCACAACTACTCCAATGCAGGCCCTTGCCTCCAGAAGGGAGCAAAGCAGAAACTTGAAGAGTGCCACCATGGACATTGAGTTGAAGAGGTACTGCCGCAGGGCATTTGTGTCAGATACAACGGACTAGGACAATGAGTGAATGCATCCATATGCTAACATACAGACACTGATTTGAACCAAATTTCTACACATACATCCTGCCAGCAGCAGTTCCTTGCCACGTCGTGCCCAGTCAGGTCACCAAACCGAACCCATGTGGCTTCGGCTCACCAAACCCATATGCTGTCTCCTTGGTTCCCCCCGGGTCTCCTGTGAGGAAATTCCAAGGCATAGATGCAAAAACGAGTCGTAGGCGTCCGTGAGCGCCTCACACCAACACGCCGACGAGTCAACGGAGAAGGTTTCACGCCGACGCAATGGACCCTGGCCTGAATCGCAATGCAAAGCATGGACACCTGGCAAGGCAGGGAAGCTCTTGTATGTTTGTCAAGTCTAAGTGTCTCCAATCCTGGAAACCCAGCAGAACGAAACAAGAGTTCCTTCGAGGCGATAGTGGTTTGTTGCTTCTCTCGGCAATATTGGCTTGTTGCTTCTATAAGGATCCTTCGAACAAAAAGCATAATGAGGGTTGGGTTGGCCCAGAGCCAAGACATGCAATCATCTTGTGCACCCAAGGCTGCTTACAACGAGCAACACCAGAACAACCAGAGTTTGTCATTGCGCCTTGGAGACCGCAGGGCCATCGTCAGCCTGACTCAGCTGCTGAAGGAAACACCTGGCCCATGTCGCAGGTCCCTATGCAATGCTCATGTAGCCTGCAGCTAGTTCCGCGCAGAACATGTCTCGGACATTCTCGGACTCTGTGTGTATATATATATATATTTCCTACAAACATCAGAGTCTGATGAGAGTGACAAAACGGACTGACTGAACTGACTCACATCCTGGGTCAAGAGAGCCTCGGCTTGGTGCTGAATGTGCCATGCAAATGTATTTGAACGGAGGCTCCGGCCTTATCTGCCAAAGGCACAACATGCTGACCCAGAAAGAGTAGTGGACCACCTGAGCAAGCACTTTGCTCGACACAGGGAAGGATCGCAATTAGTTCAGGCCCTGGGCCCCTTCAGTTGCGTGGCAACTTCGGGGAACAAACCTGTGGTTTCAACCCAAACTATTAATGGCCTATGGCCCTTGGCCCAAACAAAAGGTGGGCTCACTGAACCTCGAACCTCATCTCGGATGAATCCATGTCAAAGACAGCCCTCAACCAATTTTCAAGCTCCATGTGGCTTCTAGCAGCTTCGAGGTAGGTGTAAAGGATCCAAAATATCCAAACAGGAGGCCTGCAGTGTCCAACGAATGAGTCTTTTCTGTCCACGGCTTCAGCAAGGGTTCCACCAGAGATTTGGAGCGCACTGAGCGTTTCACCCAGCGGCTGAAGAGGGCATCTGTGAATCTTGTGGAGTGACAAGGCGCCTCCAACCTACTTGCGTCCTTGCTCCTGGTAGTAAGGCCAGGAGCCCCTAGTAGCTTCTTGTTCTTAGAGTCGGGCAGACATTTCATGTGGAAGTTGCGACCTGGTGTTCATACTTCCAAATGGACATCTGATCTGTCTGTTACCATTAAGGTGACAATGCGAGTAGCTCTCAACCTGCAGTACCCTCAACCATTTGATGGAGTAGTGCACTTCACCTGCAACATCTTGAAGTGCCAGAGAGGCTTTGTGCACAAGCCAGTACTGAGGCTTTCACACAGCTTGGTGAACATCGACCCTTGGGATTGTGCACAGGATTTTGCTATATTTTGCTCATGAACAGCTTCGTTGTGGATTCCCCCCCTTCCCAAATGACATGGCCCTGTCATCACAAGATTCAACTAGACACAGCCATTGGCAGTAGGCCATTGGCCAAAATGTATTGGAAAAGCCAGTTGAATGGGTTTCAGAAGATCGCAAGGCTGGGAAAGCCCACAAGTTCTGTACTTCACTGAAGATGTTGCCACAGTGTCATTGATTATCCTTCTGAGCTTGGAGCTTCTGTCAAACTCAATTCAACTGACGGCTGACGGCAATGGTTTGCACAAGCTTTGCGCAGCTCCCAGCACACGCAGAGGACTTCAGATCTGACTCTCGACGAAGAGCACCACGTTTCGGCCATAGAGCTCAGCGGGGCTTACAGTCCTTGCCCAATCCTTGGAGAGTCCTTAAGATCAAAGTGATCAAAGGGACAGGCTAGACTTGGTGGACAGGGTGCGGATCACCAGAGAAGTGATTACCTATCGCAAAAAAAAGAACCTCATGCGTGAGTTGGGAAGAGCGTGCAAATTTCAATATGAATTGAGACTTGTATGCTGCTCCAGTCTATGCCAGACTGATGGCCACCAAATGGAATCTGGTCTTGCCGGAAACCCACTCGAACAGATTAGTTTAGCAGTAGCAATTTGCTCAACAGGTCAATGAGCTCATCGGAGTTCCTTTGAGGTTGAAAGTAACCACATCTGTTTTCTGTCAATACAAGTATTAAACTACATTAAACTATTTATGGTTGGTATCGTGTCTCCCGATATGTTCGTGATTGCATGTCTATTCGACTCAAGTGGTTCAGCTTATGTTTTGGCGGTGGCCGTGTTGCAGAGACTCTTGCAGCCAAAGCTTCGTTGGTTCCAGCGGTCCACTCGCATGCTGTTGAAATCCCACACCTGGCGAGGTCGCTCGGACGCTCCGAGGTCGAAGGTGGGCACTTTTCTTGGCTCGCAGTCCGGTGCCCCCTCGCACACTTTCACCACTTCAAGACCTTTCTAATGGAGGGCATGATCTCTTCCACCTCAACCTCCTTACATAAGCGATCAGACACTTGTGTCGGGCTTTCTCAGATAGGTATGAAATCTCTGCTCTCATCAGGGAGGAAATGATGGTTTCTACCCGATGTTCCCAGAATTGCCTGGGAAGACCCTTCAAACCATCTGCCTGCGTCCGTCCAAAGGAAGCTGCTTCCTTGAGCCACTCAGCATAATGATCAGAGCCTCCCAAAAATGGTGCACCACCCACCACCTGAGATAATTGGTGGAAGGCTTGCATGTCATGTCAAATTGTTCCAGTCTCTTCCAAGGCTTGACATTGCGTCTCAATCACAGTACAAACCTGACTGCAAATAGCCCTAGCCTATGAATCCACCCATTGACAGGTGGCACATTCAGGTCTGTGCTAACGACGGTCTTTTCCGAGCAAACTTCCAAGTAAGGCCAAGCGGATGTTGCAAACACACACACACACACACACTTGTTCTTGAAATGTAGTACTCTGCAAACTCCCAAAACCACCAAGCGCTGCGAGCTGCAATCCGCTGTCGCACGTAGCTCGCCGAGATCGCGTCGAAGAAGAGCGCGGAGTGTGGAGCTGACAGAGCACCGATACGCCGCAAGGTCTGTGTGGCTTCTCGGTCTGTGAGGTACATCATCAAGCCTGTCTGGATAGGACCATCAAAAACCTCTCTCTCATGTCGAATAAAAGTGACAAAGGTAACCACAGCAAGGGCAAAAAATGATCTTTGAATCCTTGACTATGGAGTCTGAAAAAAATTGAAAAGTTGTTGTTCATGTCTCCCAAGCAAGACATTGGTGGAATCCTCCCAGTCATGACAAGAACCAAGCGCAGGACATGACGGTCAGCCTTCCAGGAGCCACACAGTGGGCTGAGTGGGATCGAAGTGTTCATCTCTTTGCAGCTTGGTACTCCAGTCCTCTCCTGAGGAAAAGTCTGTTGGTACAACCTTGGCTGCCGAAAATGTGGGCTCAGGTGGAGGCACCGTCCAAACTCACTGTAGCCCCAAAGAACATGGGACTTTTCTTGCAAACAAATAGGTTTTGGAGAGCGGTTACTGTAAAGTAGAATTCCAGAATTGAGCACACGAGAAGATCTTAACGACATATTAGGGGCGTGGGTGTGGGAAAAGAAAAATCTGATCCTTCTTCCTTCCGCATCCAAATACACTGTTATATATGTGTTTTTTCTTGATGCGGCAAAAAGGGAAGTACTTGATTACAGTGTTCGATTCTGTGAAGATTCGTGTGAAAAAAGGGCCTGGACAGGGACAAGAAACTGAACGTGACTGCACTGTGAGAGTTTCTCCCTCCAAAAGAGGCTCCTTCTCCTGAAAGAGGATGGGCAGATCCACCTGTGTGGCTTGACCGATGCGTAGGGTGCCATGGAAGCGTCAGGCATTCAAGCAAACTCTCACTCCAATTGGAGGAGGAAACTATCACACAAAAATTGTTTCTAAGAGTGTGTCATGAGCCATGCGAAGAATGGCCAGCTCCTCCATGGAGAGGCGCTCAGATTTTGGATTCAGCGGAGAATCTACCGAAGAGTGAGTCCAATGAGTTTAGGATAAGGTCTAGTCTGGCACTGCTTGCTCTGCAAAAACACGCAAAAGTTTCTTGAAATCGGAAGCTCAACTTAACCTGATGAATCTTGTCACAGCTTTTGCCTTCCCAACAGCCCCTGACCCACCAAGATTTGCCTAGCTGTGCAGCTGGGGGAAACCCACTGGCACCCCCCATGTTCCCACCCCAATCCCTCCCATAGCAGAGAGCATTGTCCAACCTCAAAGACTTTCAGCTCCGGTAATCTCAAGCGATAGGCCCGCGCATCCATGCCAGCACCAAGCAGCACCAGTTGTCGACAAGGCCTGATGCTGCTGTTTCATGGGAAATGCCAGTTGCAGCGTGTGATGTGATAGATGTGGATGTCTATTAAAATAGGGCTTAGGGAGACCAAACCTCCTGGAAGAAGGAAAAAAGAACAAAGCCCATTAGTTGGGGGTCTGGCTAATAAAATACACACCCATGTGCAAACAGAAGAGTCTTGTCGGAACTCCATTTCACATCCACCGGGATGGCAGAAGTGAATGAAGCTAGGTACACGACCTCTTCAGAAACATCTTGATTCAAATGAAAAATATCAGAACAGCCCTCTCCAAACAGCTGCCCCAACTACCACCAGGCCTTGCTTTCATGTAGTGATGCAGCACGAAGTCATCACCAAATCTTGTTCGGGGCACCATGATCCAATCACCCATCGGTTGCGCCAAGCCTTGTGGCCCTGCCAGTTTCGACGCCAAGGGGTCTACAAACAATGCATCTGAGCGTTGGCTTTCTAGAAAGCGGCTCCCAGCGCACATCCGTGCAGTGAAGGCATGAGAGGCCTTTTCCGGCAGTGCATAGCTTCGTGGCATGGGACTCTTCCAAAGGATCAAGGCGCAGAAGGCTTGTGCGGCGCGCCGAGGGAGGCTTGGCATGGGTGCTCTCTTGAGCTGGGCAAACAGCTGAGGTGGGTCGACAAACATCTCTCTTTGAACCTAAACATCTCTCTTCGAGGCTGACTCTTGTCAATTGGCACAACTCCTAGCTGTACCTCATAATGGGAATTGAAGCATTGAAGGGCCGAAAATTTGGTCTGCAAATACATCAAAAGTGGACAAAGCTCAAACTTGGTTCCGAGTTCAAGTATACAGTATACCCAGCCTTAGTGGAGAGGTACTCCTGGTCCACCAAAAGGCTGCTGAAGCTCAGGCGAAAGCCACACTTTTCAGCCACCACCTGCTTTCCGAGGCCAGCTGGATCTAGTTCGTTCTTATCCTCTCAATGTGCATAATATGGAAAACAGCCCAAGAGATGATGTGGGCTTCAGCATGTTGGACTGCAGATCAATCTGTAAAAACCAGTTTGAAAAACAAGGGAAACAAAGGCTTGAGCGCCCAAGTATGATGAGAACACGCTCATCTGAAAGAAGTTGTAGGTGCAAAGCAAATCATGCTGATGCAAGTAATACACAACAGTCTGACAATGCGCAGGAAACATATTATATATATATATGATTATATATGATTATATAATAGCCACGAGATGCGGAACTGCTGAAACACCGTCTTGCCGTTAAAATAAATTCTTCTCCCGGCCTCCCCAGAGATTTGAGTGGTTGGTGGGTGTTCGCCCAAGTGCTCAGGAGCCGCAGCCTGTCAGTTGGAATGATGGGGACTGCTGCTTAGAACCAAATCCAAATCTGTTAGCATCTTGATCTTTGTCAGTCTTCTGAATTATCAGCTGCTTGGGAATCGCCTCAAACCCACTATCGAAGGAGGCATAGACCACGCATGGCCTGCGCTCTCACTCAGGATGATGCTTAGTGAAAAAAACTGAAGTTGAGGTTGACTATCTGCACGAGGACATTTGGTAGGTCTGACAGCCTTCTGCTCTTCCACAGTCCATTCACATAGAAGCCCCAGAACTCTGCAAAGTTCAAACTAACTTGGATTTTGCTATGTCGCTGACAGGGTTCGGTAGCTGTTGGCAAGCTGTTGTTGCACAAAGAATGCAATCAAAATTGCTAATGAAGGTGAGTTCGATGTGGAGATGACCTTTTGAATCAGACCCTCAAAAGTATTCAACATGCCTTGAAAACCTCCTTTGAGGACAAAGGTGAGGTGGTGAGGCTGTGAGGCTGTGAGTGGCGGACAAAGGCAAGATCCATCCTTGGTGGCTTTTGCTCTTGACCGAAAACGTCTCAGAACGTCTCCAAACCCACCCAGAAATTTCCCGAAACCGGCACGTCCCGAAGACCCTGGCGCTCCTTTCCCCAAACTGTCGAAGGGTCCTCACAGCAGATGATAATTCACTTTCTTCACCTTAAGATAGAGGAAGTGGAGGATGTAAGATATTGAGGCCAATACTCAAAATAGAAGTAGTGTTCATCATTGGACGCTTTACTTGTCAGGTCAAATGCACAGACTGATTGATGAAATCCCCAAACATGATGACTCTACTCTAAAACCAATTCTTGAAGTCTTTCGAATGCTGACAAGGCCATATCGTGACGTCTAAGGACCACTCTTCGTGCGTTTTCTTGCATCATCAAGTTGAGTAAAATTACTCGTCCCAAAACTCAAAGGAAAACAAAAACAACCAACAAGGGTCCATTTTTGATGTGTGCTGCTTTCGTCCGTTTTCTTTACCGTCGCAGAGCAGGAGAACGACTGTTCGATAAAAAAGGGTGTTGTTGAAATCCGCCCGCACCAAAGTTGCGGAGGCGTTGTGTCAGTTTGCGTACGCCACTAGTAGTTGCTATATCGTTCATTAAGTTTTAGTTTGGGAGGGTTGCCTTTTGCTCCAAAATGCCCTGTTCTTGAGTTGCTTAAAAAAAAAGATGAAAAAGGAACACGTCATTGGCGATGTTAGCTATGCTGCCCGATTGATAATGCATCATTGACATCGTTTGTGCTTGCCTTGCAGCCTTCCCGCAAGAGAAACAAGAAAACATTTATATATAATGTTAGTTACGCTGCCTGACTGGAACTGCATTATTGAAAGCGCCTACGTGTTTGCACCTGCGGATTTCCTTATTATTTGGGCCAAAATATATAGACACCAGCGTAGGGTGATGCATCAATCACCAAGTTGTTTGTCGTGAGGTATGTTTTTCGTTCTAAAAGATTATGGCTTGGTCAAATAGGCGTAAGAGCTACCAAGATTGTGACATTTCGCCGCTTCCTTGCACGTCAACCGGACCACGTGGTAAAAAAACAAACCGTTTTGGCTTTCGCTGACTTCGATCGATCCAGCTGGATTCGTGAGACAATGGAGCTGCTCACAATGGTCTCCAGCATTGCGCCTTATCGCCCGAAGCAACGTTTGAACTTCCTCATCTGAAGCACAAACTTTTGCAGCTGGATAATCCAGAGTGTCGCCCGAAACAACCACGCTGCTGGGAAGGACCCATCGGATCCGCATGGCCTTCCTTGAGCGGCGCCGTCAACCGCCACATAAAGAAGTCATCTAGCGTGTTCACAGTCTTCACGACGTCTTCCCGTGGCCCTGCCACTGCGAAATACATCGGCCTGGACCAACTCTTCACCCCCCTCTCCAACGGATCGTGCTGGCACTTTGACACAATGATCACAATGCTCATCACTGTAAGCATCCCATGTGACCCCGTCGCTCTCCATAAACGTATTCATTTGCTGCGTCACACGATGCAGAAATTTCTCACGTCCTTGCCTGTGAGAGGAGGGCGTGGCGTCTTGGCAGAGGCAGCGGACACATGTGCTGCCTCTGCCAAGACGCCACGCCTTTTTTTGTGAAGATTGACGCTCGGCCTGCAAAAGGGACCACCAGACGGGTCAATGGTTCTTGGACGCCTTTCTGCAACACCTTTCCCGTCAAAACTTGCCGGCGCCGCCGTCTTCTGCACCCTTTTCAATCTTTTCTTCGGGCTGGCATCCCACTTGCCCATTGCGCCTCAGCTTGAACAAACGCGCTAGTCTCGGCTCAGAGTCTTTGAGCCAACATACAATCGTGCATCCGAACGTCCTGGGTCACTGTTCTCACTGTTCTCCTACTCGCCATCTGGACGCCCGCCCGTGCCATGGTCCATCTTGCTTGAAGAAGCACTGCGCACAGTCGTTGTCCTCCAATCCGGTCCTCACTCCCCACATCATGCTCTGCGCTCCTGGACAATTCAGCTTAGGCACCTTGCAAGTCACACACGTCTCTCTTTTACCCCGCAGGCCCAGCTGAGGCCCCGTACCGACAGCATCCGCTGCAGTGGCCGATGTCCATAGCACTTACCATCGCTGCTGCTACACTAACCAATACTGAACTGGTACCCCAAATGCGTCGCTCTGCAGAACTAACGCAGATGTTCATCCTAAACTCGATCTTTCTTTGTCCATAACCATCTTTTCCTCATGGCTCACTTCTTCTGACCCTTTGAGCCCTGCATCGTTCTTTCCCAGCTCAGGGAGCACAAGTGCTTTCCGTGCGGGCGGTCTTCGCCACGAAGCGGTGTGAATATGCTTTACACAGAAAAGGCAGTATTCGCACTTTTGAATTTCGTGCAACGGTGTAGCATTGTTGGTCATAAATGGAATTGTCCTTGAAGACTTCCTGTATTCCCTCTTTGCATTTTGCACTTTTCGGATGCAGTTTTTCTTTGAAGGGTCTGCCCCTTTCCACGAAAGTAATTAGTTGAAGCTGTCGTTCATTTGTTTTCGACCTTGTGCAGCTGACCGTTTGGAAACGGCTGCTACAGGTCCCATGAAGCAAAAGGGGTGCAGAAAATGGATTGTGTGTCAAATACATACAGAAGAAAACTTCACAAGCAAGGAAAGTGACTTTGGCCTTTTTTTCTGTGTGGCCTCTCTGCGGCCAACTTCCAGTTTCCTTTCAATCAGCATATGCATGCGCATATGCATGCATACAATTTTGTCTATCTTCGCAGCCAGTAATTTAGATTGGGTCTACCCTATTGCCTGTGTAACAGTGGATGATGATGGTTAGTAAAGGCTTTTTTTAGGGGAATATAATTGTTTACTGACTGTTACAGGTAATAGGTTAGACCCAAACTATAGAAGTAGTTACCTACATGGCAGGAGAGAGAAGACTGAACTCCACTCAGAGGAAATGGAGCGGAGAAACCAATGGGCTTCTACGAATGGCCCACGCGAACGCGTTCCGCGAAGTGCACGCGTCCCGCGACTCCAACGACAACGACGTTACGCTGGAAGTGTCTCTAACAAACAAAGAGAGACATATCAGTCTCCATGCTGGATCTCCAACCACAGGGATGGTGGTGATCCAAAGCTACTGGCACTGGGTCAACACCAGGCGGACCGACCGGTCGACCACCGAAAATGAACAAAGTAGAGTACCAACAAAAGGTCAACCTACCAAGGTGGTTTGGAGCTGCAGGTTACACACCCACATGTCCTCCATTGATATCCATTGTCCCTATTTCGGCACTTCATCTCTACGTCAAAGCTGCTGTTCCGGCGCTCCTGGGATCGCTGTTGCCGATGGCTACCGTCCTGCGTTGGGCGGAGGCGGTCAGGGATGGACAGCTTGTGTTGGACAAATTGTGTTGAGCTCAACTGCGCAAATTGATTGGCTCCTGGCTTCATTGACTGACAAATGTAACTTTAGAAAGCACATGTATCGAACATCTTTGACCTGTTCCCGTCAGCCCAGAGTGGAATTCAATCTGTCGGTTGCTTTCGACTCTTTCTTTTCACATGGGCCACGGCCGCTGGAGGTGCCTTTGTGGACCCCTTCACCTGGGGGTCGCAGCGATCATAGAGCCACGATTCGTGGACAATGCAGCTTTCGGGGTGCCAAGCGATGACGGGATTTCTTCGGACGTCATTTCTGGGGAGAGCCTGATACAGCCTCAACAAACTGAAATCCGCAGAAATCACAAGGAAAGCCAAGTCAAAATTGGGAAAACGGACATGTGGATCATGAGAGAGCGTGGACACCAGTCAGTCCAAGGCACCTCCAACGACACCTATCCACGCCCCGCTTGCATGCGCTCACGAGCGCTGAAGGGTAAGTGACTGTCAGAGCCAGTTTTCCTGCATACGGTGCGGAAGACTGAAGGGTCTTGCTGGGGAGTGGATGTAAGTGCTGCTGGAGGTTGAAGAAGAATTCGTTGCCAGAAGCTCAGGTTCGAAGCAATGAAGGTGCACCATTTGTGCCAGCCAAGCTCTCTGTTTAGATTTTTTTGCATAGCAGGCATTGCAAATCAGGAGGCAAAAAGAGGTGCCTTCTTCGTTCGCAGACAGGACGGTTATTGGAAACGACTTGTTGGATTCCTAGTTGTTTGTAAATGGACCTATCTACAAAAGAAAAGACAAGGCTTTTCTGGCGTGATCCCCAAAGCATCGGTCCTTCTCTTCTTCTCCTTCTCACTAACCTTGTACAAGGACTTGTGCTTCTCCTGCAACGACAAATGTGTTTTTCAACATGCCTTCTCCCCAAACACCTATTGCAATCCGCTATCTTCTATACCGATATGGCTGCCTCTCCCAAGAAGCAGGCGTGTCTGCTCTACGTGAGAACCGTTTTTCAGCTAGAGTGCCCGCTAAGCTGCATCCTTAGTAACTAAGGATGCAGCTTAGTGGGCACTCTAGTTCTTGTGCAGCCCATCTCACAATTATAGACTCGAGTATCTGGAGTTCTGATTGTAGTTCTTTTTGATTGCACCAACAAAGAAGCAAATGCTGATGCTGGCACCTTCTTCTGCTTCGGTTCACTCTCCTGCGCGAATCGACAGAATGGGCCCTACACATTGTAGAAAAAGGGTGCTTGGGCCGAATTGAAGAGCATGCATCATCACTCCAAAATAACATAAAATATAAAAAGTAGTTGTGTGGGCCAATGAGTTGCATTCATCACTGGTGAGTTGGTCCAGCAAAATGAGCAGAACAAAGGTGAGGTTGGTGGTGCGATCATGATTGGCTCTGTTGTGAAATTCCCCCAATTGGCAGCACGCCCAGCTTTCCAAAATCAGGCGAACGTAGCGGTTGCATTTTATCCATATTCATGGGGCCTGCACCTACCTGGCCTTTCAGGGTCAAAATACCTTGAAATGACATCCCCACAGACTCAGAGCGTCACCTTCTGCAGCTTGTCTGAGGCTGACAGCATCTCGTCCGGCCTTTTTGGGAGCTCAAGTGTTGGTTCGACATCAGGAAAACCGATGATAACGTCAACCAAGGATCTATGTAAGGAATAAGTTATATATAATGCTATGTTCTTTGCAAGGCTTTTGGAAATTACAGGCCAGAAGAATCTGTGAAACTACTTCGGGACTTTCCAGAGCGTTTTGAAGACTTGCCAAGTCTCTTTCCAGCGAGCCCAGCTCAGCCTCTTTCTTGATAAAATGCAAACCAACTACGAAGTGCAGAAACATGTGGGCTCAAACGAAAATGCAAACCATTTTGTGGGCTCAGATTAGAAAAACAGTCTCGAAGCGCACAAAGGCATGAAAGCAAGCCCTCATCTGTGTTCAGGAACCATCTTCCCTTACAGTCACCAAAACCTTCAAACTGTTAGGCCAAGTTGGCTCTGGACCCATCTCATGCTTTGGCATCCTTGCTTGATCCCAAAGCGATGCATCCATCGCCGCTTCTCTTCCTGTGACGCGGCGCTCGGTACTATTCCGGACCGGAAAGATTCGAAGCCTCTTACTGGGAAGTTTGGCTTTACGACTGGTTCAAATGCATCTGTTCGAGCCTGGCACATATCAACAACGTATTACAAAGGGACTGTTTGATGACTCCAAACCCGTCAGAACAGACTGTCCTTACCAAAAGGCATCGAGCATCTCAGAATGCTGCAAAGAATCCTTATATAGTTGAGATGACGTTCAGCCCAGGTTATGAAGTCTCTCAGCTATCACTCAAGCTGAACATCAGTCATTTTCATACGCTCTCTTTTCGTCGAGAGCCCACTCAGACCGGTGAAGTCGCTCCTTGTCCATCCCAGAGAAGTCAGGTCGCTCGGGCGGCAAGTTGGGATCCTCGAGCAGCGAAGACCATGCAGTTTGAGGAGTCCTCTTGTGCAGTGTTCAATGAGGTTGAGACTAACAAGAAGCTAGTAGTAACAAGTGCCACGCTAGTAGTAACAGGTGCCTTACTACTAGTAACAAGAAGCTAGTAGTAACTGTTACATCAGGTTGCGAGGAGGTCACTGCAAATTCAGAAGTGCACTCTACCTGTTTGACAAATGACCAGCACTCAGGATGCCGGGGGCTTTGTTCAATTTGACCGAATCCACTGCAATAAACAGCACTTCCCGACACATTTACGACGACTAAGAAGCACAAGGAAGCACTGACGTCTTCTTCCCCCGTCAAGTCACACTGGCCACTTCTTTCTTTGTCCATGGATTGGCTGTGGCATCGTCCGCATCTTGCGGCATGGCCTCCGGCCGAAACCGGACCGTTCTGAGGGACGCCCGGTCCGCCGGATGGTTCCGGGACGAGAAAGCGAAAACGCATCGAAACGAAACCAATGGAGTCTCGAAGCAAAACCAAGGAACGAATCGCACGAGCAGGATGGCCAGTTTAGGATCATTACACCATTCAAAGGCTTAAAGCTTTTTGGAACGATCTCCGGAGACAGGAGTGAGATCCCCACCTTGGGGTCCAACTCCAAGCCATGGAGCCACTTCTGAGGTTTCGGAGGCGCCTCGTCCTTGTTTCACGGCTGCTTTTCTGTGTTTTCGTTTGTTTCTTCCTTTTTGATATCGCCGGGTTGAAGGCTGTATGCCGGTTTTTGGGCAAGAAGAATGAAAGGAGAACGCAAAAGATGTGATCTTACCAAGTAGTTGCAAGGAGTTCAAGGTGATTCCCATAACACAAGATCCAAGGAGTATCTCCAAGCAGGTGTCCTCCGGCTTCTTGTAACCTGCACGCAAGGTGTCATGCCCTTTAAATCGTTCCCAGAGCAAAGCAGTGCCATGTTGAAGATTTTCTAAAAGCACTCCTCTTCAATGCTACCTGCAAGGATCGTTCTCAAATGATCACCTGATTCAAGTTGCTGCAACCTCGCTCAAGTGTCTGAGGCGATGGCTGTACTTCGCAGTGGGCATATCTTTGACACCCGGTCTGCTACCATCCACAGCACCTGAACAGTCCAAATGCCCACAGGAAATCTATCAAACCAGAAACAAACAACTGAAAAGAGCAACTGAAAAAGTCATGTCCAAAACCAAAGTTGCCATCTACCTCCCAGCATGCGCCTAGTGTAATCATGCGGCAAACGCCACACTTCAGCACCCCAGTCGAGGCTTCAACCTGCCGACAAACTCAAGCATGAATGTGAGTTCAAAATAGTTCAAGTGCTTGAAAGAAATGCACGTAACACACAACTATCTTCTTGGCAGCAGTTGCATCTCACATTCCTGAATCAAGTGCTATATCACACCCAACCTCACCACGACGCTCGTGGCGCCAAGGCTGACGCCGCCAGAAGACTCCACCCAGGCCAACCTGGCTGTTTACATCCTACTCCTCACCAACCAGGTTTGACCCCCCAACTGACCAGTTACGCAAAAACCCAGTATCCAACAACTGGAAGCTAACTTGAGATACAGCTTGCTGAGATTGCCCATTGGCACCTCCATCACATCTGTATGCTACTCTCTCTCATCCAGCACATCACTCCCGAAAACGGCTCGACGGTCGCGCCGGTTCGGCTCCGGCCCCGGCCGCGTGGTACTTCGGCTCGGCGGCCACGGCCAGCTCCGCCACTGCTGGGCTGGAGCACTGCCGAGCAGCGCCTGGAAGCGGGATTCAGACCCAAACAACCGAGCAGCGCCTGTGGACCACCTCCAGAGAGAGAAAAACAAGGCCGAGAATGACTTGGAGACCAACCGCGACTGGACGGACTATGGACCGGTCTTCCCTTTCAGGCACGCCTTTTGCAAGCTTTCTGACGTCTGCCTGGGGAACATCAAAACTGTTGGGCAGCATCTATTCTTCTTTGGCCAGGACAGGGGAAGAGAAGAACCTTCCAAGAGTTGTCTCAAAATTATTGCGGAAGCATTGCAGAACTGATGTGATTGTCAGCGTGACAAGAATCATCAAGAAAATACTGCCCTGAGCGCAAATGTCTTGACAGCATCAAATCACAAGAACACGAAAGTGGCCATGTGTTATTAGGCAAGACATGTGCCTTGCGTCATTGAAGAACCAATCTTGGCCAATTCATGCTGGGATTGAATGTTCCAGCTATGCACCCTTATCTAGTCTCACCTGTCTGGTCGGGGTGCGTCAGGACTCTGGAGATCGAACACAACCACACAACCAAAGGGTTGCCGCCCCGTGGCGCCAGTCCTTTGTGGTGTCCTGGCTGTTCTATGACCCTCCCCGCCTCTTCTGGCCAGGCTTCCTTTAAGGTGGTCATCACGCCCTATCGCAATGTGACTGAGCCGATATCGGCATTTTACAATGAGGTGCACCTAGAAAGTGCAATCCGGGAGCTGCCTCTTTTTGGTCACCCAGCAGCCCCCAAGAGGTCCCCTTTCCGGCAGCCGGTCTGAACTAACAAAATCCTTCTCCGCGGCCAACAGTTTAGGCTGCATGCCTTGAAGTGGTCAACAGAATCATGCCAAGGTCTCCACTACTGGCCGCGGCGTCAAAATGCAAGGTTGTTTGAAGGAGAAAGGTGGTACAGTTGGTCATTTCAATCGAGCCTTTGGCCATTCTGAAGTCAAGAGTAGATCTACACCTGTCACGTGATGGTCGGAGAGCAATCTATCTTCCTCTGGCAGGCTTCAGCATCACACAACATCCAAGTGGCACCAAAGGATGAAAACTATGGTCTCACGAAGATGCTTCACAAACAGACTTGGTGACTTGCTTCATGTTCTGCAGAGTGGCCCCAGTCTTCACTCGATTCTCACAAGCATCTGGCTCTCAACATGTTAAACACAAATTGTATGAAGAGCTCCGACAAATTGGTTTGTTATATCATATATATAGAGAGAGAGAGAGCTTCCTGTTTCAAAGGATTCATGTCATCTCTTTGACTCCTCCATTTGCTCACTTCCAATGGGGGACCTCACCTCCACTGTCCGCGATCTCTTCACAGAGCCGGTCAATGGCCAGGGGAGTGTAGCAACCATCGATGAACCTGGGAGCTGAAAAACATCACCTACACGCGTTTCATAGAAGGTGGACCTTCCCCTCTCAAAAAAAGTCTATAAATTTGACATGATTCCATTCAAGAGTACTTCGTAAAGTAGAGGAAGCAAGAAAAGATGGTTGAACCATCAAGTGAAGACAGTACAGAAAAATCCTGCCATCTCAATGCAAACCTCTCCAGGATGATCCTAGACGCAACAATGCAATGATCATCTCTTTAGACCAAGCGCAGTTCAAGTGACAGCTGTGATTGCATAAACTCTTTCTTCTTCTCCTTGGCCTCCAGCAGAAACATGTTTGTGGGTGGCATGGCGCTTTTGGAACATTTGCAAGAGAACCCAAACTTGCAGTATGCCATTCAGAATGCAATAGGAGAGAGAAGCTTCTGCAGGGTTGACGTTCTTGAACGGATGCAAGAGAAGCTAAAATTATGTTATGCATGTCCTGCATTCTTAGAATTATGATGCAGACTTATTTTGGATAGGTCTGAGGAATTCATCCAGTCTTGGTCACCTGCCTTGAGCTCTTCCCAAGACGGACCCGTTGGCGCAGAGGAGACCCTGGGATGCGTTTGGTTTGCCACAGAAAAAGAAATGAAGGAAAAAGCTAACAAAATTTGCAAACTCTCAGTGTTCCTGCATATTGCTGCGACAATTGACTTCACTGCTGTCAGTTTGACCCTCCCTGTCTCATGAGAAAGAGATCTTCAAGAGTCTGCTTTTCCAGGCCTGGCCTGGCTTCCTCATTCAGTGGCATGGGGGCACCGGCGAAGAGCCCGCGGTCACCCTCCTGAGTCAGGAGCATGGGCACCCTCCTGAGTCCCTTTCTTCGTTGTGATGGAGAATTGCAACATTTCCTCACAGTGTCACGAGCGACAGAGAGAGGCCGAAACCCTTTTTTCTTGCACAAACGCGCGGAAGAGCGATGTTCGCATCTGTCAAATAGACCACTGAACGGTTCTGGCGATCTGAGAATGTCCGATCTCAACCCATTTGGGTCTATGCGAGGCCTCTTTTTTCCTTGCCATTCGCCTTGCATTTTGATCATTTCAGAGTGCCACTTGAGGGCATTCATTCCCAGAATCTGCCTTCGGGATGAGTTGGCCCCCAGGGGTCATCATAGTCAGGGCTGCCCTTTGGAACCACGTGATACTCGTACTCGCCGACGATGCACTCACCGGCATTCCCAGCCCCGTGGGCATACATGAATTTCTCCTCTTGCTCCATCTTGGAATCGGGATCTACGACCACCTGCTCATAGTCTGCAAGCTCCACGCCTGTAGACTTGAAGGCCCTCTCCACCTTGCTCTTCTTGGCGGCTTCGTAGTAGAGGATGACAAAGTAGCTGCGGTCATCGCCTTCCCCGGAATACTCACCCTCACCAATGCCGTAGGCGAGCATCGAGTACTCACTCTTCTGGGCGAATTCCGTCTTGGAAAGCTGTTGCAGCTGTGGCTCCTTGATGCACAGGTGCCGCTTGACTAAGGTTGCCTTTTTCCTGGCATTCATACGGTTCTCATACTCTATAAGCTCTTCCTCTTTTGGATAGCAGGGTGGCACCCAGCCGTCACTCATGGGGTAGATGCCTTTGGGCCATCCTTGGTATTCGGTGAGTGGCTTGCGGCCAACTCGCCCGCGGGCCGCTGGCATGGCTGGCCCTCCAGTCACTCAAGGGGGGCGTCCAATCTTGAGCCCGAGCACACATGAACGCTTCACGCTTGGTTTAACTTGTGTGTGTACATCTTGGCTAAAACCATGTGCCTACACGTGTCTGCAGCTGTGGAAAAGAACATGTCTGAAGGTGAGGCCCCAGAACTGCTGCAGGTGGAACATTGCGTGCTTCAGTTCAAATGGTTAAGTTTCTGAAAGATAAAAGCTTTACAAAGCTCAACAACCGCCTGGGCGGCATACTTGGACTTTATCTCATCTGGAGCTGCGGCGCCTGCAGTGTGTGCTGAAAACAGGGAGACATTGAAACCGGATCCCAAAAAGACGAGTCACCGGTTTGCAAATCGAACCTAAGAGCCTAAGAGGTGTGAAAGCAGTGGTCTGTGTTTTGCTTTAAGAAGCTTGTTTCCCCCTTCGCCTCATTCCAGAGGCCGACAACACGAAAAACGCTCAACAAGAAGCAGTGAAGCTTCTTTGGAAAGGTTTACACTAGGTACAAAGGGCCCAGGGCACTCTGAATGGCTCTGTTCTGACCCATTGATCAGTTCTGACTGCCTTCTGCAGCCTCCAGCTCCTGACTTGATGTGGCGGGACAGAAGTCGAGAACCAAGAACATCGCTGGACAGTGGACTGTAAGGGAAGGTGGAAAGCTTGCCTCAAATTCTCATCTTGATCAAGTACTTGGTAGGCTAGGTGGCTGTATTGAAAGCATACATCGCCCAAGCCACAAAGGTGTTGAATCCAGAACAGATGGAGAATTTCTGTTGGGCTACTCTTTGCAAATCGTATCCACGATGCTCCTCATCTGGCTCATCAAAGAGCTCCGCCTTTAGGCGACCAGAGAGAAAGGCCACCTGCCAGCTGAAGAATGTGTGTATCTCAAAAGCATACGCTAGTGTGACCCAAATTGAGACGTTTAGGTCAACCACCACAACAATCCGCTGAGATATATATATCACATTCTTTTCACTTGAGGCATGTTAGACCGGCGCACCAACAAAAGGAAAATCCAAGAATTAGCCACGGAGCATGGATTGATGACCCAATAATCATTGTCTGCAACTAGGTCTTTCTGCTGGCCAGGGAATTCGCAAAAACAAGCACACAAAACACTTGAAACAAGAAAGTACAAGACCTGTTCTGGGTCTGAGCATGCCATGTGCCTGTTGCATTTGCCCTCGGTCTCGTTTTTGGTGCTCTGGAAACGAAAATCCATGGAGGTGACGATATGCCTTGTCATGTATTGCGTATTGCTGCAATGCAAAAAGAGGAAATCTCACCTCCAAGTTGGCAGTGGCCCGAGACAAATGGAAGCATGCAAATCTGATACTATACGACATGGGCATGTCAACCTTGCTTGTTCAAACTGATGTCCTCAGGCACTTCCAAGCGCTGCGTTTGACACGGGCACAAATTTGAAGCATCGTCGACTGTACAATCGAATCAGCCAGGCAGCCATGCTGGGCCTCCAGGCCATTTTGGCCATTTGGGCGAAAATTCCAAGAATATCGGCAAACACCCAAGGGCGGGTCCCTTATCGACCCCGGCCACGGTTCTTCTTGCGGGGCCGTGACGAAGCATCATCACGGAACTTCGAAGGGTCCAGGCACGGAGGAGGGTAGCCTCAGGAAAAGGATGGATACGAAGTACCACAAAGGATTGCTATTAGGTTGGAGGCAAACACACGTGAATCAAACTCTGTGTGTTGCAAACACTCGCAGCTGAGAGAGTCTCACAGTTCGAAACATGTGTCCAACTCTGTGGGCGCATCACAAATTGAAGACCCCGTTGTCACGTTGTCTACCGCTGCTTTCACACATTGGCTTCCGCAATCGGATTGTGTGGATGTCGTGCCGGCCGTGCGTTCATTGCGCGACAAACCGTTGCCCAGTTGCTCTCAGCACCAAATTTCACCTTCTCCTGAGTCAGAAGGTCGCATCAGAAAAAGGAATGAACTCCGTTCACGGAAATTTGGTTGCCTTTGCGGCTTGTCCAGCTCACATGCTCGCTGGTACACAGATCTTCGCAGGAATTCTTCTGACAGCTGAATCGCAAAAGAATATGTTCACGGAGTGTCATCTGGCGACATGGTCCACGGCTCATGGATGAAGCGCACTGGCACCCTTCCTGAGCTTGCTGTGCGTGCCACACTTCAAGGACAGACTACAACATGATTCTTCCTTCTACGAAGCATAGATTTATCTTACTGATCTGAAAGGGAAGGATGCGTTTGTCACGCAAACTTGTTGAGTGCATCCAACGCGGGTGGTGAATCACACTCGCCGGCCGGCTCCATAGTATATGAAATGAAGGCAGGCTTCTCAACAATAGTCCCAAAAAAGGGCCAATCTTTGACACAGTTGAATAGTTTGGGTTTAAATGCATTGGAGTCCTTCGCCGTATCCCCACAGAAGCAGTACCCCTTTCCATCGTTTCAGAAGCAGTCCCCACTTCCTCACCTCACGTCCTCTTGATTCCAAGCGACGGAGCTCGGGGAGCCAATGTCTCAAGTAGGCGCCATCCTCACGGTCAAGGCGACCAGGAGTCTTCACCCCACACCACGCCACACTGGTCGCCGGAGGCGTCATCTGGAAGGTATGAAGATACATTTCGGTGGATTTGGGGATATACACCCAGCTAGGTTCATGCCTGCTAGGAATTCAACACTCACCAGCTTTCACCTTCGCTCTTTGGGTGTCCTTGTCGTACATCTTCGACTGGCGGACAACCTGGAGCACTTACCGACAACCCGAGCAGTCACAGAACAGCTAACTTACCGCATCTTGGCTCAGCAATTCTTCAGGCGTTGGGTTGTCTTCAGCAAGGCACGCAACAGTCTAAATGCCAATTCTGAGTCTGAACATATCTGTGAACACCAACCTTCAGACGCGTGAACCATCAAATTGCACCCTACGTGGAATGAAGCATGAACCATTGCCTTCCCCGATCTTGTGCCAGGCCACATTGAAACGGTTCAATCGGCCCGTAGTGAGCCCTGCAGCATGAACCCAATTGCCTAAGTGAATGACTTAGGTCTTAAGTTAGTCTTAAGTCACTGCATCAGCTGGGTGATTTCCATGCAAGTCAACCATTTCCACCATTGTATGCATTGCGTTGTTGCCAGATCGGGCCAGGTACCCCAGTTGGAGGCCACGTCATAATCCACGAGAAAGCTTTCAAACCAATCAGCACCCTGGCGCCAATCCTCGATGACCAGAAGTAACTTGCTCTCTGGTTGCAAGCATAAACAGGCAGCACTTAACTTTACAATGGGCACTTGCAGAAGTGATGAAAGAGAAGGGTTTACTCTCGAAAGAGAATGACAGGAACATGTATCATATTAATTATATATGTGTCTATCCACCCACACTGGAAGCGGGATGGAAATCCACCACTATGGTTCAAAAAACGGTTCTTTTTCCACCAGTTCATGTGCAAAATAAACAAAAAAAGCTAGTGGAGAGACTGCGGGGAGTTTCCTCTCCCGGTGGTTCCCATGTATCCTCTCTCTCTCTCTCTCAATCACGGCTCCAATTTCATATCCAGCGCCAGGAACGAGGCCACGTTCTGACGCCCTCGGTTGGACATGAAGCCAGTGGCACCTCGGCCCAGCACCGTTGCTTCAACTTCGAAGTATGGATTTCCATGGGGAGCTAGGCCAAGGGCATCGCTAGGAGCAAGGACGCTACTAGGGGCTCCTGGCATCGCTACTAGGAGCAAGGATGCTACTAGGGGCTCCTGGCCTTACTACTAGTAACAAGAAGCTATTAGAAACAGTTCACACATTTTGCGAGGCAGAAAAAGCCATCACTATTAGGTTGGAGGCTATCGCTAGTAGGGGGACGACCACAAGTCGGTGTGGTAGAAAGGTGATCGTCACGCTGAGGCACTAAGCTCTCGCATGTTCGCATCCACCAGAGGGTATCCGGTTTTTCCTTCAGCCCAAAGCCGGAAGAGTTCTTGATCTGGCTTCCAATCCTAGGAGAGCTGTGTGCATGTTCACCATGTTGTGCTCGTCGTGACGTGCTCGCGTGCAGCGAAGACTACTTAAGTGTCATCAGCGAAGACTACTTAGGTGTTATCAGCTTCAGCATGGTCACAGCAAAGCTGATGGTGGTTGACGAGATGCTCCTTTTCCAGAGATGCCATGCAACTTGAAGATTTGATTGCCTCAAGCAGAAATGTCTTGGTGTCACATAAAGAATGCGAGTTGCTTTCTTGCCGCCTATCGTATCCATGTGGATACCCTACAACAGCAAAATTTGGGCGGTCTACCACCAGTCTCCTGCTACCCAAGTCAACGAATTCTCCTCAAATTGTCGTGCCATTGGATCTTTGGACAAAACCGGCACCGCCCTTGGCAGGTGTCCAAGAGGCCAACAAGTGCCCCCCCCAACTTGTTTCACCAAGCGGTTCCGCCTTTCGCAACCAGATGCTTCCTGCCATCCATTTCACGCCCCAAATCCACCGAGCGGCCGTGCTTTGCGGCAAAGAAGCGGTAGAAGTCGCGCCACATCCTCGAGCGGTGCTGCTAACGGCCGAGCGGGGGTGAAACGGCAGCGGCAGTAGAAGTCCCGTCTGGGAAACCCGTGAATTCAGTGGAAGCGACGGCATGAAGAATGTGGAAGCAACAGCAGAGAAATACATGTGCAACAGCCCGGCACTGTATTTCTCTGATGGATGGTTGCACATGTTTCGCATCGGTAACCACTTACTTTCATCCAAGGCACAGCTCAAAAAGCACCCAATACGTGGACTTGTTTGCCTCAGGCATCGATTTCTTTGTGGGGATCACCATGAGGAACACTTGCCGGAAACGTTCCGCATGTGTAGCTTGTTGATTGGGTTACCATATTTCTCCGCGAACCTAGAGGCTTTTGAGGGTATCCCCAAAGCAGGAAAAAACAGCGAAGATCTTTGCTAGTGATCAGAAAGGCCCACTATCCACAAACTTTCAAGATAGAGCGAGCTACCACAATCTCCTTCTCATATTCGCGGATCTGCTCGAAGATCTTTCGCGGGGACAAGCAACCGAATGCTAACCACGGAGCCAATTTCGTGGAGTAGTCCTTGGGTAACGAGGAATAGAGGCGACAACAGGTGTCCAACCTCCTGATCTTATGTAACTCCAAGGTTACCATCAAAGTTTGACGTCTTGGTGCTGAAAAGAACAATTGCAGGCAAGAGTCTGGACCCAGCATGCCGTTGCGCGTGTCAAAGTACTTGGCGACTGCGTTTGTCTCAAACCTGGTTGGCTTCTCATGTCCCATTGAAGAGAACACAGAAACTTGAAAGTGATGAACAGCTGGATCAGATTATTATTGAAACCCTATATACATATGTATATTATTACCTGTTCTCCTTGCTGAATGGAACTGGTGTCAGTTCTAGCTCTGGTGGATTTTGGGGTCCAAAATCGTTGGCTGGAAATCTGCAAGCAGGGCAGTCCTTTGAAACCATCGCCGAGGCGCAAGTAATACTGAAGCCTCGCAAGAGCAGCCTCCTGGCTGAATTCCAAGATCAGTCCCTTCATGATTTCTTGTTTTTTTCCCTGCAACCGTTTTAAACATTCTATTTTCATATACTACACATAACTATATATATGTATACATATATTTGTTTAAGCCTGGGCGGGGGGTAGGCCATAGAGGTGAGTCGGTAGCTAGTAGAAGAGTTAGCTACTACCTACAAGCAGGCACCAGACTACTACTTCGGACGCAGGATGGCTCACGCTCGCACTAATGATTTGGTTTCTAGATTTTTAGGGAAACTGAACATTGGAACGTATAATTACCTGTTTCCATTCATGTCGTGGACCGAACGGGTGGAACACAGTGCTCCTCACCACCTTCGAAGTGCATGGCAGCCGTCTCAGGCAGAACGGGTTCATCAACAGGTGCTGGGTACGGCAAGTCCTGGAGGACTTGAGTCAATGACATTGGTGAAGGGTTTCTTCTCGCAGAGGGTTATTCCAACAACCTGTTCTCCTATGAGACCCTGACCAAAAAGTATAAGAAATGCCTTGAAGATCCTTAAAGTAATGTCAGAAACAGTCTTACATGAGCCCAAGACTTTTTCTGCATCAATGGCTGGATGTGCACCAAGCCAAGCTCACTCCATCATAAATTCACCCGAGGGCTCAAGCTCTGCTAGCGGCTAGCTGGCAATATTGCCACCAGCCAGAATCTTGCTGAAACTGTTCACGCCCTTGCTTCTTTGTTGAACTGACCTTTTCTCAATCTTGACCCTTGGTCTCCACTGCCTTCACTTGGCGCAAACCGAATTCGTCGGCCTTTTGGCGGCTGACAGGCTGACTGGCTGAGGAGGAGGGTTGGCAGGTTCCTGAGCTCCAGTTGGCTGAGTTCCCCATCTTTCTACAAATGAAAGCTATCGCCTACCACCAAGCAGATCACGTACATTGACGTACAAACTGTCTCTCAGCCCAATGAAGATTCACAGCGCCGGTGGTGGGAACTTGATGGAAAACCACGGTTCCCTCCATCTTCTGAAGCTCCTCCTCACCATCCTGATCCCCAGCAGCTTTACAACCAAGCTCGGCTGAACAAAATGCTTTTTCACAGCTGCGTTTCAGCTTTACTTGTGCTTTGGCAAGCCTCCAAAGCTCAAAAGCGTTGTATCTGACAACTTCACCAGCCTCTGCAGGTTTCTGGGTCTTCCTCGAAGCACGCCCAAATTTCTTCCCGCTTCTGGGCCTCTTTGCTCTTGGGCGGCCCCAGTCCCACATGGGTGAAAACAAAAAGCCCCTTGATGGATCCAGATATGCAATGTAACGGAGCCATCGCAGTTGGTCAGGTCCTGCCTCCCGCACCTGGGAGTAGACAGGGGCAACGACGCGGTTCGTCCTATGGGGTCCCCCGTATGTTATGGACCCATTTAAGAACTGCCTAACAACTCACACAAACTCATACATATAATCCTAACAACATACCACATACATACATACATACGTACGTACGTACATACATACATACATACATCCACGACATTATTAAGATACGTAAGATATGTGTACGGAACTGAAAGCGGTGCCACACGCCGGCCTAGGGTTCCATTTCCTAAGAGTACCAATAAGGACCAACAGAGCCTGGAGGTCTTCAAGAGGAACGGAGGCCAAAGTCTCAAGTCGACGACGAAGCGACAGGGTGACGTCGTAGCGCGCAAGTCTGCAGAGCTCATTAGCACTTTACAAAAGGAAGAAGAGTGGCCACCAGCTGCGTCTTATAATGCGCCCAGGTGCACCAAGCAGGTACGCTTTCACGGCAACATGGATGGGTCTTCGTTGGCCCATGCCATCCATGTGCCCATGGGCCCCCTGCTGAAAAAGTCGAAAACTCCAAAAGCGAGAACAATCCAAAAGGATCCCTGTGATTCCAAGGGGTACACACACACCACGCAACACACCATACCCGAAACCACAACACCGACCTCACCGCAGGCGGCGTGGAGGTTTGGAGACCCAGACGAAGTTGTCATTCATCAACCACCTCCAATGAGGAGGTGCGCTTATCCGAGCGGGGTGTCGGTGGTTGGCATTGGTTTCAGCGTGAGACACGCACGACCCATTCAATCAAGGAGTATGTTTGCTTTTTTGGGGTTCAAGCAAGTGACCGATTTGACATTCTCATCGTATCTGATTGTCCTGCCGTTTTTGGTCGGAGTTCTTGCAATGGCGGCTTCAATCGTTCAGGTATTCTCGCGAGGGAAACTGTAAGGGACAACTCACCGACAGACCTGTCAAGAAAGAAGCGAACCCCAAACCAACGGCAAAAAAGGTCGTCCTCGTCGCGAATGATGAAGAGGCGGTCTCAAAACCCCAGCGTCAAGCGACACAGAAAACGACTATGTCGTCTAATCCCCTCAATCAACTCGCCCTATACTACCAGATGATACAAAACGAGTTCATCAAGCAGAAACAGGAGAAGTATAACAGCTTGTGTAGAAATATGTTTGTAACAATACTAAAACGTCCTTTTTATCTCTTAATGGAGGAAATGTAAAAAGAGGCACCGAGGAGGCAGTGAACGGACGGGGTATACAAATCTTGAAACTGACACATTATTAAATAGCAAAGCGAACCAATCAACAACATATACCAAAACAGAAACGGACACAGCATCTGGTTTAAAAGCGAACAGCGCCGATGTATACTCATTCTCAAATAAACACATCGTTAGGACTGAAAAGCAGACAAAGCAAATCCCGTCTTCACTGGCAACGCGACAATTAATTCAGTTGTGAACGCGACTGGTGCTAATACGGCGGGTTTAACAGCAAACGCAATAAACGCAAATCAGTATTACGCCATAAACATTACAGCGGACACTACTTGGATGCACGCCGCCACAGAATTTATGAGATATGATTAAACCAAATCAACCCATGAAATGAAACAGGAACTACACATTGAAAACGGTCTTTAAAACAGACACCATAGGTAGTTTGACCAAGACCAAGTTTCCACTTTCAAGAAACGGCAGTGACTATTTACAGTTTCAAGCATCACCTGAAAGATTTGTAGTGAATAAAATGCTACAACCAAAAAACAATAGAGGTGAAAGTCGGTTTTTTGAAGGAGTTGAAGGGGCACTGAATGTATTGAGGATTAGAAATAAATCAGGACATATCCATATACCCAGAACGGTATATTTTACAAGAGGCCATGGAACCAGTAGAATATACGAAGGGATTGAAAATACATCTACTGTATTGAGAACTTGGCATGATGCTACTGTAAATAGTCCTCTTACAATTTTAGGGGCAGGGGCAGACGCTAATGTCTTGTTGGTTTATCCTACCCTTGTCGAAGTGAGGCAACCGATAAGATGTAACACCTAGAACACGAATGGTGATTTTAACACGTCGCTTCAACAGAACGGCTCAGCCTGTGCGTTTTATGATAAGGATGATGTAACCTATCCTTCTGGCAATTTCAGGATGATTGCGATGTCAGCATAATACTGCCAAATTCAATCAGTGTAATTTGATGAAAGCACATATTTTTGACAGTCATGCTAGTCTTGAACCCAACGATGTTCATTCAGATACAATGGAACAGACTGCATGTTGACATTAACTCTGAATACAACATTACTTTCGCAGCAATTACTGAAACATCCGATGAAAGGTTAAAGGAGGACATTGATGCTGTCCATTCTGATTGTAGGTAAAGGTTAAGCAATACTACATGAAGAACGATAAGAAGAAGAGGCAAAATATAGGTTTTGTAGCGCAGAATGTCAAAGAAGTTCTACCCGAAGAGTTTGAACATGTAATCAACGAAGATAACGAATATATGAACATAAACTATGGTCGTATACGCGCCATCTTGTGGAAAAGTCATCAAGAGATGATGGATAAGATGGAAAAATGGAAGAAGAATTCAAAGAATTGAAATAACAAAACGAGAGCAAAAAACAACCGTCCAACACCAAAAACTAGATAATATAGATTAATATAAACCATGGGTAGTAGAAGTTCAAAGTGTGGCGATAATAATAACTCCATAAAAAATTCAATCAATGAAGATGAACTGGGTTTATCAATCATTGCCAACCTAACAACTCAAAGCAATCAAGCAAATTGCAGAAAGAATAGGACAACTTGGAGACAAGAAGAGCGACCGGGTTATGTATACACTTCCTGCTGTCAATCTGTGTTCTTACTCATTGGTTTAGGATTGACGATATTACAATATTTGAAGATATCATCAACAAGATTTAACCTGTATCTTTTTGTCAAGACCTCGTTAATGTCGCTCTCCGTCAGCTTTACGAACAGGAAACTGAACCTCTCCTCCGTCGCCTTCTCGTAGATTTCTGACAGCGTGTTCTTAGCGTTGTGGGTGTTCTTGTCATCCATTATGAAGTTCCGTTTAATCAGGAGCGCTAACAACTCCTCCACCATGGTATTGTATCTCTTTGTAGTTTCTCGTCTTGAAAAATACAACTGTCTGCTATTGACCCTGATGATGGTTGATAGGGAATTGAACTTTTGGGATGATCTAACGACATTCACGCCAAAGTGGCGAACCCGAATGCAAAGAGCGTTAAGCATCCTATTACGCTTTGAAAAGGAGACTTGATCTACGAAGTCATCGACCACCAGCGTGGCAAAGAGTTTTTTGAACATGTGGTCTTTTTGGCACTGACTGATTTTCTACTGCTGTTCCAAAATAGCCTCCAAGTCTTCCTTGTGGAACTCATCAAAGTACGTCTTCTCCTTCTTTGTATCAACCTTCAAGGCCTTCTCTACGTAATCCTTGACGGGGTGCCAGACGCTATCAACATGGATACAGGCGCTGAATATAAACACCCTCTGAAAGCACCCTCGGTAGATGTCAAGTATCATGTTCTGTAATAGAATGCTTTTACCGCTACCACCATTTGGGATTCTTGGCACGACATCGTATTTGGACTGCTGAAACTCGTATTCTGCCGTTTAATGCGGTTTTACAAAAGGGGTTAAACTTTGGTTCGTTACAAAACTGGGTGGCTGTTAAGGGGGATTTTTTTCCCCCCAGCTTCTCGGCTAAAGCCTGCCAGTTTTTCAACTCAACTTCTCAGCCTGAGCCCTGCCAGCTTTTCAATTCAACCTGTGATTGCCCAGCTTCTCAACCTGAGCCCTGCCAGTTTTTCAACTCAAACTGTTGATTGACCAGTGATCCCCCAGCTTCTCAACCTGAGCCCTCCCGGCTTTTCAATTTGACCATTAAGTCCCCAGCTTCT